GAGGTGGGATTGGTGTATAAATCCCTTCCTCTCCCGACAAAGGGAGCCCACATCAGTCTGTGAGACTTTCCATGGCCCCCGCACGTCCAGGAGACCTTCCCGTCTCCGGTGCAGCATCCGAGGAAGAGCCCCTGGTCTCTCCTGGAGAACTGTCCCAGGCCTCAGGAGTGAGGCTGACAGCCTGAGTGAGCGAGTCCTCTTCACGACGTTCAGGTCCAGCCCTGCTGCTGGCCTCCCCTCCCGGTGTGGTAATGAGGATCCTGTCTGTCGGCATTGGAAAACGACGCACTTTTTCCACACTTGGAGCACATGGCGCTTCGAGCTTGCCGCAGTGGTTGCTCTAACGTGGCACCGCCAGCATCTTCAGCCAGGCGAGGTCGCCGTGAGACGCAGGTACCACGTGTGTCTGTTCCTTCCTCTCACATCGCGGGAAACAAGATGCATAAAAACAAGTGCTGGGCTTTGCCGCTGTCCGCCGTCCGTCAGCACCTCCACGGTCCCGTGCAAGTGCTGCTGTGTACCTGGATCTAATGAGTCAGATTGCTGAGAGCTGGAATGCTGGTTCCCCTTTCTCCGTCTTCCACCGCTCCCTCAGTGGGACACCGGTCAGCTGTATGGTCTGCTGGTCTCGGGCAGACAGATCCAGCCCCGAGGACACAAGACACGTGAAGGGCACGAGTGAGGGACCCTGCAAAGACCCAAGAGAGGTGCAAAGCAGGGGCTGATGGCCTTGGGCTTCCTTGAGACAGTCACCTTCCTCAGGACGGGGCACAGTCACTGCCACTCTGCCAGGCAGGGTGCAGATGGGCAGGGCCCAGAAACACACAGTGGACGGTTCCCTCTCCAGCACCTCTGGAAGAAAGCTGCGAATCCCTGATGGAGCCGCGGATACAGATTGGAGGGCACTGCCAGCGATGAAAAAGTGTGTTGATTGCTCTAAAAGAATAGCTCTGCAGACCCTAAGTTCCATTCAAGACCTTATTGAGTAGTTTCTAACCTGTTAGATATAGTGGGAAAATTATAACGGGCAATTCTGCACTGGATTGCTCACTTCAAACAAAAATTGGTGGGGTGGGTACCAGGGATCAAACTCAGGACCTTGTGCTTGCAAGGCAGGCGTGGTGCCACTGAGCCACATGCCCGGCCCCGCGTTTTTAAGAGAAGCAAAAGCCATGGACAGTTAAAAAGAATGCATCCAGATGACCATCACCAGAGGGCTGGAATGTGCTGGGTCCATACAGTAGAGTATTATTAGGTCCTGGAAGAAAGGAGTCACTAAGACAAGGGGCAACCTTGACCACGTGATTCGAAATAAAAGAAGCCAGTCACAAATGACCATATGTTTATTGTGTGATTCCATTATCTGAAATACGCAGTTCTGGAAAGACAAAATGCAGCCAGTGGTTGCTGAGACTTGGAGTGAAAGTTAAGGGGCCACTTGGTGGGGAGTTTCTTTTGGGGTTGGTAAAAATACTCTAAAGTTGCACTGTGGTCTTGGTTTTGCAACTCTGAATATACTTTGTATCTGTGAGGTCTGTGTTTGCAGATCAAACCAACCACGGATGATGGAAGATGTGGGGGGCGGTGTCTGTGATGAATACATGTACCGACATGAGTCCCTAAATGATACAGTATGACAGAGCTAGGTGCACACCTATAATCTCAGCGTTCCAGGAGGCTGAGACAGGAAGATTGCAAGTTCAAGCCTAAGCAACTTAGCTCGCCCCAATCTATAACTTTTTTTAAAATGGGCTGGGGATATAGCTCAGTATGAAGGTTCTGGGTTCAATCTTCACTGTTTGCATAGCATTCAAATCACATTAGGTGCTACAAGTAATTGAGAGATGATTTAAGTTATAGAGGAAAACTGGCAAAAATTGTATGTAAACTACCATTTTATATAAAAGACTTGAACATTCATGGAATTTTACAACTTCAGCGAGTTCTGAAACCAATCCCATGTAAATTCTGAGGGGCAGCTGTACTGGGAACCATTGAAATGGGCTAGTTTTACAGTGTTAAACACTAGCATTCAAGATGGTATGTAGCTGACTGTGAATTCACGCAGTTTGGACAATAATGGTTTTACAGAAGTTTCAGCAGCAACACCAGTTAAAAGCTGAAGATTTCCTGGATGTTTCCGGTGGTGAACTTTGAGCCTCCTGGGAAAGGAGGACTCTGAACGGCCGCTGACAGTTGTCAGTGGAAGTCAGCTTTGTTGTACAGCGAAGGAGGCAGTGGGCAAGAACAGCCACGCTCAGAGTGCAAGGCTGTGGCTGGGAAGACATTGGATGGAGGGGTGGGAGCAGATGTGGGGAACTGTGAAGGCCAGGTAGGAGTGTATTTGGTGTTTGTTTGTTTGTTTGTTTGTTTGAGACAGGGTCTCACTATGTAGTTGAGACTGCCCTGGAACTCACTGTGTAGCCCAGGCTGGTCTCGAACTCATAGGGATCCTCCTGCCTCAGCCTCTTCAGTGCTGGGATTACAGGCGTGCCCCCCACACCAGGCAGGCAGGAGTGTAGATATGATCCTGAACAGAATACGATCTTGGTCAGGAGAATAATTGACAACATGCACCAGGCTTGAGAACACTGGGATGCGTCTGAACTCAGCTCCAGGGAGGCCATTGGGTAAGACACCCAAGATAGTGCCAAGGAATGACAGAGGATGAAGCAAACCAGAGCACAAATGGGAGGGAATCAGGGTCTGAGTGACTGCGTCAGGAGGAAAGGAAGCTCAAGCCTGAAGCTAGAGACGGCCAGACTGGGTCTCAGCAGTGCCAGGCCCTTCGATTGCTTTCATTTGGGGGCAGAGGCCCTGCTTTTGCCTTTGGAGGTTACTAACATCCCTGCCACTCGTCCGTGGCTGTGTGAGGCCGTAGTCTCAGAATCTGAATTCGCTGTCCAGCAACGGTTGGTGCAGATCACGAGCTGTGTGGTGTTTAATCAGTGAGGTTGCTTGAGGGAAATGAGAGTTGATCAATAGGAGTGTCAGCTATGCTCTTGCAGGGCCGAGTCCAAGCTGCTTTTCTTCTGCCTGCACTGGCAAAAACCGCAAGCCATTGAAAATGGAAAGAGCAACTTTGTCTAAGGCCCATAAAACTGACTTTTAAGCAGCTGTGTCTTCTGCTCACCTTTGTGGTTTTCCCCCTGACCAGGTTCTGGAAAGTAAATAGGTGCTAGTCTAGTGTTTTCCGAACCCTTTAGAGCAGCACCCCTGTGGTGACACAGGGTCGGGGTGCAGGGCCCTGGAGGAAGGCGTACTGTCCACCCTCGTACCTTCCAAGGACCCCCAGCTGTCCTCCTGTCTTCCCTTCCTCCTTTTCCCTTTCATTTTTGTGGTTTTGTTGTTGTTGTTGCAATGAGTGAGATACGGAACCATGCACCTGCCTCAGCCTCCCGACTAGCTGGGCCTGACACTACCATTGCTCCACGCTCCTATTTTTTTGTTTGTAAGGTTTCTAGCAGAAACTTGTTGAGTACTTCAGAAATTGGCTTAGTAGGGCCGGGGTTTTAGCTCAGGGGTTCGGTGGCCTGCCTTGCAAGCACAAGGACCCAAGTTCAATCCCCGGTACCAAAAAAAAGAAAAAACAAATAGGCTTAGTAAGGCAAGAGGAGGAGTCAAGGGGAAAAGGGAGTTTGAAAGGAAGACAGTTTGGAGATGGCATTACAGTCAGTCCCTGTGTCGTTTATAAAGCAAGTGTCTGTTAAGGAACTCTCGGTGCCTGGCTGGCGTTAGCCTGGGTGCTAGGGATTTGAAAGTAAATGTCATACCCGGTCCTCTCCCCCAGTCTTCCAGAAGGCTACCCCGCTGGCCATGGGGCATCAGTGTGTTCAAGCAGGGGCCAGGGAAAGCCATGTACCAGAGTTCGGGGACCTGCCAGTGATGCAGCAGATTGAATAGGTGGGCTTCTCTAAGTAGAGGCCCAGGTGACCGTGCGCACTGGTGCGCAGAAGAGGCCAGGAATGTGCTTGAACAGAAATTTAGTTTCCCCTTGCTAGTCGAGAGGGGACAGTCACCCTTCGATAGCTGGCCTCCGGCTGTGTCTGGACTGCAGCTTCTTGCCAGACGGCTCCCTGGAAGGCGAGGGATGGGTGTTCTTGGGAGCTGCAGCTCCGGCGCTGCTGCCTGAAGCAGAGAGGGGGTGGGAGGGGCTGGGCTGGATGTGTGACATCGTGTTGCAGGGCGCTGGAGAGGTCGCGTCCCAGCAGTGGATGAAGAGAAAAGGGCTTTGTGTGCAGCAGTTTCTGCTGCCAGAGCAAGTGTGGGTTTTGTGGCAGCTGCAGGCCTCCATCCCTAATATAGGCAAAAGCCCCAAATCCTCCAGGCCTGACACCTGTTAGCCGGGGGTCCCCTGAGCTGACCTCTCCTTGGGCTGTCTCTCCCATGTGTGCCTCTGACCCCACCCTTGCTGAGTCATGTGAGCCCAGAGTCCCGTTCCACGAAAGTGCCTTTTCAATTTAGGTAGGTGCCGCTGGAATTTTGAGGAGTAGCATGTATTCAAGAGTCACTAGGGGGCCGAGGATTTTTTAGCTCAGTGGCACTGCGCCTGCCTTGCAAGAGCAAAGTCCTGAGTTCGATCCCCAGTATGGAAAAACAGTCACTAGGGAAAGGGCTGAGGCTGACCTAGGCCAAAGGAATGGGGCGTTCCTCTGGGAAGTGGCCACTCTTGGCAAAGACCTGGCCTGTGTTTGGGGAACTATGGAAACAAGTCCCAGGGAGGGCTGGCCCTTCCCCAGGGATGGAGAGAACTGAAACATGACCTGCTTAATGCTGCTGCAGCTGCTTCCTAACTTGCCTCTTTCTTCCTTTGACTTTTGGAGGAGTCGGGTGGCGGGGAAGAACGGGGTTTCCAGGTAGCTGGGCACTTCCCGCTGACCCGTGTTCCCGGTCCTACCTCCCCAGCTCTGTGGCCTCGAGTCCGTGGCTAGCGTAACTCCCTTTGTCTCCCTCCTTCCTCTCCCCCTGGCTCCTCTTCCCGGCCCCCGTGGTGGCTGCAGCCCAGCCCTGGGGAGCCCCTGTGGAGGTGGAGTCCCTCCTGGTCCACCCTGGTGACCTGCTGCAGCTCCGCTGTCGGCTGCGGGACGATGTACAGAGCATCAACTGGCTGCGGGACGGGGTGCAGCTCGCAGAAAGCAACCGCACCCGCATCACGGGGGAGGAGGTAGAGGTGCGGGACTCCGTGCCTGCCGACTCCGGCCTCTACGCCTGCGTGACCAGCAGTCCCTCCGGCAGTGACACCAGCTACTTCTCCGTCAACGTCTCAGGTTGGTAGCCACGCCCTCCTCCCCTCCCGCAGACCCTCCTTGCCTCTGTCTGCTGGTTTCAGGGGAGGTGAGCCTTCCCTTCCGTGATCTGCCCCACTCTGCTTCAGAAACTGCTGCCCACTAACACTGCTCCCTGCCCGGCGTGCAGCTTAGTTCTCAGGGGAGACCTGGGGGTGGACCCCAGGCCAGAGATCTTGCCCAGATCTCCGGGATGCCAGGTGGGGCTCAGCCGGCTTTCATGCTGTCACTGCCTTGCCGTTTGGATGTGGTGCAAACAGCGCCCAAAGTGAGATCCTGCTGTGCTGGGAAGGACTGGGGAGCACCGCCCTGTGCACAAGTGTGATGGCGACACTCGCCGGCCAGTTCCTGGGCAGCCGGGGAATCTGTCACTGTTAGGATGCGACTGTGACAAAACTAGGATCGGGGAGGTGGGGCTGGCATTGTGTGCCCAGCGTGCAGGCACGGTACCTCCTCCCGGCAGCATTTCGAATCTGTCCCAACGGAGGATCGCGCCTTCTTTATTTCCTCCCAGATCCCCGAGGGTGCCAGGAAGGACTGGCCAAAGCTGTGGCACAAACCGTGCCGCTCACTGCCACTGTCGGGCTTGTTCTCACGAGGGGTGCGTTCTCGTCAGGGAGAGATGTGGGCCGCTGCAGGCTGCCCACCTGCTGTGGTTAAGAAGGGCAGCTCCCAGGCCTTAGCAGCTCATGCTAGAGAAGTCCCGACTGCAGCCTAGACCTGCCTGTGCCTCCCGGTGGTTGGCGACCCAAAGAAGGACGCAGGTTCCCCGGCTGCCATTCTGAGACCCAGGATGGCCGGGTGATGGCTCGAGCCAAAGAGCCTCCAAGCGCAGAAACAGAAACGGCTGGGGCCGGGGATTAGCTCAGTGGTTCCACCACCTGCCTCACAAGCACAAGAACCAGAGTTCGATCCCCGGTACCAAAAGAAAAGAAAGAAACCGCTGGCCCTGGGGAGCCGCCCATCGCGAAGGCTCTGGTAGAGAGCGGGCGGGGCCGAGCACTGGTGCGCGCCCTTCTTAGACCGATTCTGTCCCATTGCGAGACTGTCGGCAAGGGAAGGCTGGGCCTGGCGTCCTGCTGGGGAGGGCGCTGCTGCCTCCCGGTGACGGTGACGATGACGGGCGGTGAGGACGGAGGCTCTCGCGCCCTGGAGCTGTCCTCAGTGCCGCTCTTCCCTCCACAGATGCGCTGCCCTCCTCGGAAGACGACGATGACGACGATGACTCCTCCTCCGAGGAGAAAGAGACAGACAGCACCAAACCAAACCGTACGCGTGAGACGCTTTCCTACCTTCCTCCTGTGGGCCTGGGAGTCGGGTTCAGGGAACGGGGGTGCGCTGAAGCAAGAAGACGGGCAGAGGCAGAGGCCCGTGAGGTCAGGGCGCCTCGCTACCGGTGCTGAGTGCTGGGCGCCGGCGCGGATGCTGGCAGGTGCCTGGCACCGGACCGTGCCCTGGAGCCTGACCACCTCCCCATCTTGTCTCTCTTGGCTTTCCCTGGGCAGCCGTAGCTCCGTATTGGACGTCCCCGGAGAAGATGGAGAAGAAACTACACGCCGTGCCCGCCGCCAAGACGGTGAAGTTCAAATGCCCTTCCAGTGGGACCCCCAACCCCACGCTGCGCTGGTTGAAAAATGGCAAAGAATTCAAACCCGACCACAGGATTGGAGGCTACAAGGTACACAGGGGTCGTATAGAAAAGTTAGAGAAGTTAGCACGATGCCGGGGGTGGACTGCCCACCTGTCTCTCAGTACCAGGTCCAGAGTTCCATCCCCAGGACCCCAAAGAAGTTAGCATGAGAGGAATGGAAGAGGCTGAGACAGGAAATCCTCATTATTTACCTCTAATTTGTAGGGGATTTTCTTGGTGCTGGGGATGGAACCCAGGGACTTGCCCATACCGAGCAAGTGCTGTACCGCTGAGCTACATTCCCAGCCCTTGTAGTTGTTCTAAATAACGCCTTTTTACTATAGTGATATGTTTTTTAAAATTTAATGCAGAAAAGTTTAAAAATTATCTTTTTCTGTGTGTATAGCTTTTCCATAATTGATCACAGTACATATATTTTATCATTTGTTTAAAATAACATGAGTCATTGTTATTTCAGGCATGAGTGTTTGAGAGTTTTCTCATGGCTACATAAGATTCCATATCAGTATATCCCACAGTTTAATAAACTATTGTATAATATTTAGGTTTTGTTTTGTTTTTAGTTTTTCACTAATTTAAACAATGTTGCAGCAATTTTTTTTGTTTGGTTTTGGTTTTGGTTTTTTGATGCAGGGTCTCACTATATATAGTTCAGACTGCCCTGGAACTGACTATGTAGCTCAGGCTGGTCTCAAACTCACAGTGATCCTCCTGCCTCGGCCTCCCAAGTGCTGGGATTACAGGGGTGCGCCACCATGCCCAGCCTCAGAGCAAATATTTTCATCAGAATGTTTAAACAGCCTTCCTTAGAACACATTGCTGGAAATGAAATTACTGGGTCAAAGGGTATGAGCATTTTTAAGCTGTTGTGTATTACTCAATTACTCTTTTGGTGTGTGTGATACTAGGGTTGGAACCTAACGGAAACCAGGGCTTTGCCCACACTAAGCACACATTCTGTCACTGAGATACACCCCAGCCCATAATTAGTTTGCTTTATATGGTTTGTTTTTTGTTTTGTTTTTTTGTTGTTTTGAGACAGGGTCCGCCTATGCAGTCCAGGCTAGCCTTGGAACACACTGATCCTCCGGTCTCAGCTTCCTAAGTTCTGGGATCACGGGCGTGCACCACTATACCTGACTAACAATTTCTTTCTGGTTTTGGTTTTGGTTTTGTTTTTTGGTACAGGGTATTGAACGCGGCACCTTGCACTTGCAGAACCCCTGAGCTAAATCCCTGGCGCTACAATTACTTTGTTAAAGGGGAAAATGCAGCCACCTTCCCATAGCAGAACAGAAGAATGACAGGTTCACCTGACCTTTGGCCACAAATGAAAGTGCTTCTTAACGCTCTCATGCTTTGTTTTGCGAATTGTTAGATAGATCATGTTAATAACCAACTCCCCTTTCTTGTGTAAATTGCTGTCATTCCCATTCTATTGAGAGGAAGAACATCTTTATCCCGATCCATCTTCCTTCGGTCTGGTCATTCCCAGAGTCCCTGTTTATCTCTTCTCACCTAACTTGTCTTCCCTCCCCTGCTCTAACTAACCCCCTTCTTTTTTGTTTTTGTTTTTGTGTTTGGTACTGGGGATCAGATGCAGGACCTCATACTTTCAGGCAGGCGCAGGAGGCAGAACCACTGAGCTACATCTCCAGCCCTCTTGTGTTTTTGGTGACGGAGCCCTGCTGTATAGTCCACAATGGCCTTGAGCTCGCTGTGTAGTCAGGGCTGGCCTCGAACCTGCAGCAGCCCTCAACCTTCTGAGGACTGTGATTACAGGCGTGCACCACCACGCCCAACTTCTTTTCTAACAAAAATGCAGAAGAAATATATATATATTGTAAGAAATTATCTAAGAGAAACAAAGGCAGTCTGAAGTAGTCGAGAAATGTGTGTGCGTGTGTGTATATAAATATATATATATATATTTTTTATTATTATTATTTTTTAATGGACTGGGGATTAAAATCAGGGCCTTGCACATGGTAAGCAAGTTTGAGCTGAGCTACACCCCTAGCCTACGCCCCCCACCTTTTAAATTTTCATTTATTTAGTAATTTATTTGGGTACCAGGGATTGAACTCAGGACCTTGCGCTTGTAGGCAGGCTCAATGCCACTGAGCTAAATCCCTGCCCCCCTTTTTGTTTTATTTATTTATTTTTATTTGCCCGGGGTGGCGGGTTTGAGACAGGGTCTCACTATGTAGTTGAGATTGACCTGGAACTCAGTCTGTAGCCCAGGCTGGTCTCAAACTCACAGCGATCCTCCTGCCTCAGCCTCCCCAGTTCTGGGATTACAGGTGTGTGCCACCATGCCCAGTCTTTGTTTGTTTTTTTTGTTTTTTTTTTTTTGTTTTTGTACCTGCGATCAAACTCTGGTCCTTGTGCTTGCGCGGCAGGCGCTAAATCCCCAGCCCTGCTTGTTTAATTTTGAGAACAAGGTCTGGCTAAGTTACCGAAGGTGGCCTAGAATATGTGATCTTCCTGCCTTGGCCTTCTGAGTAGCTGGGATTATCGGTGTACACCACCATGCCCAACCCCTAGGAAAAAGTTTTAAGTTAATTCACCAAGTACTTGCTCTCTAAGTTACTGTGTTTCGGATGGAGTGAGACAACCTCCTGCCCACAGAGATTTTCTAGTGTTAGAAGCCAGATGTGGCGGTGCACATCTGTAATTCCAGCACTCTGGGAGGGTGACTCCCTCAGCTCCGTGGTGACTGAGCCCAGCCTGTGCGATTTAGTGACTTAGACTCTGTCTCAGAAAAGGGGGTTGGGCTGGGGAAGTAGCTCAGTGCAAAGGCCCTGAGTTCAATGCCCAGTACCACACATACACAAAACCCGAAAGCAGCAAATGAGCAGTGATCATACAGAGCAGACTGCCATCAGTGTTTCAGCAGAGATGCAGAGGGAGGGTAAGAATAGTTCTCGCCAGAGATTCGGCCAGAGGTGGAGGCTGCTTTGGAAATAGGATGTCAGGGGCAGCCAGGGCTGGCTTTAGCAGAACCATCCCTACACAGGAGTGGTGTGGACAGACGCCCAGAGTCCAAAGGCTCCTAGTGAGGTTGGGAGGGTCAGAGCCTGTTTGTCCAGATTACAGCTGGCCTTGAATGCTGGGGTGAAGATATCCAAGTCCTCGCACCTGTCTGTCCGCCAGCAGGATGGGCCCTTCCTGAGTGTAAAAGCTCCTAGAGCAGGCCCAGGCCTAAGCTGCCTCACGGGGCAGCTGGGCTTCAGACCCTCACCGGCGCCTTGGTGTGCGTCGCCACAGGTCCGTTACGCCACCTGGAGCATCATCATGGACTCTGTGGTGCCCTCTGACAAGGGCAACTACACCTGCATTGTGGAGAATGAGTACGGAAGCATTAACCACACCTACCAGCTCGACGTCGTGGGTAAGAAGCCCAAGACGCCCTGGGAGGAGAGGGTGGGGCCCTAGGGGTGGAGTCAGGAGAACATTTGGCGCCCATTAGGGTTGTTACCTAGAGCAGATCACGTCTTGTTTTGAGCATTTTTGGGGGGGTACGGGGATCGAACTCAGGACCTTGCACTTGCGAGGCAGGTGAGGCACCACTGAGCTAAATCCCCAGCCTATCGTTCTGTATTTCTGACAGACTCCTAGGTGATGTGCCATCCCTGGTCCTGGGCCATCCTTGGCACAGCAGGAATTAGGGACTGGTTTTAGGTGAGAAGTACGCTAGGCCGAAATCTGGAGCTGTGTCTGAGCCACGGGCTCTTCGTGTAGATGAGAGACTGCGCCTGTACAGTGGGTGCCTTCGCTGCCATTGAGAGGAGGTTCCTGGCTGCTTGAGGCTGGAATCGGGGCAGGTTACCTGGCACTCAGCAGAGGCGATGGCCAGGGCATTGCCCCTCCCTAGACCGTCGGAGAGGGCGCTGTCTGCGGGTGTCCCAGGCGGGACCTGCTCACAGCAAGGTGTGATGAGCCCGTTTTCTCCCTTCCGCAGAGCGGTCCCCTCACAGGCCCATCCTGCAGGCAGGGTTGCCTGCCAACAAGACAGTGGCCCTGGGCAGCAACGTGGAGTTCATGTGTAAGGTGTACAGTGACCCACAGCCCCACATTCAGTGGCTGAAACACATCGAGGTGAACGGGAGTAAGATTGGCCCGGACAACCTGCCTTATGTGCAGATCTTGAAGGTAATCTTGATCCCAGTCTTAATGGGCCAGTGTACTGGGAAAGAGACCAGCACCTTCCAGGGGCTCAGGCACCGGGCACAGTGCCTGGGGTTGGGACTAATGACAGGATGGGTGGAGGTGAGCTGGGAACAGACTGTTGGGGAGTGGACCGTGGTGCTTTTACGGAACTTTGAGAGTGACTCTGCTAAGACTTGGGATCGGCTACTCGAGGCAGGGGTTCCAACTCCTGCTTACTCACTGTCCAGGGCCAAACCATCTCCAGCGAGCAGGTGACCCCGTCTTGCCCCCGCTTGCTTTCCAGTGATGACCTTTTGGCAAATGGGATGAATGACAGGGACACAGCTTGAGTAGTCAGGAAAGCAAATGCCACGTATAAATCCTAGGCAGTAGAGGAGTAATGGCATTGTCTTCCTCTTTCCTGTCATCCCCAGACTCTCGTTTTCCCTGAACGCTCCATTAATCCAGGGAAGGTAACTGGCTAAGTCTCCAGTGGATCTTACAACAGGAAGTAACCAGAAGCTGGGAAAGTGGTTTACCTCCTTGTCCCAGAGTTAGAGCTCATTCTCCCCTGGCTTAGCTGTCCCAAAGATTTACTGGCTGTCCCTTCTCTTCGCCCCTGGTGCTGAAACTTCTGTGCTGGGCAGAGGGCTGTGGCCTTGGGCCTTGGCTTCAGTCACCATGTACAACCCCTGCCCCGGGCTGGAGGAGTGGGTTGGATGCAAACGGAGCATTGGCTTTGGGCCAGCGATTTCTCTTTGTTTCTCTCTTTTTAATTTTTTTTATCACCTCAAACATTTTGGACTTTGGAAACCAACTTGTTTTGTCCAGCTCTGAAGGGAAGATTACACGTCTCAGTATAATGTCTCCCCTCGCGTTGCCTCCCTGGGCCCACCTGCGAGTCACATGGGAGCAGAAAGTGGCCACATCCCCGTGTCTGCCCGACTGACTGGTGTGTCGTTGGTTTGTTCCAGCATTCGGGGATTAATAGCTCGGATGCGGAGGTGCTGACCCTGTTCAATGTGACAGAGGCCCAGAGCGGGGAGTATGTGTGTAAGGTTTCCAATTATATTGGTGAAGCTAACCAGTCTGCGTGGCTCACTGTCACCAGACCTGAGGCGAAAGGTAATGGGGACACGGATGGGGCCCTGTGCTGGGAATCTGACTCGGGCCCCACGCTGCTGGGGCAGGCGGGGAGACCAGCGCCAGTCCCCCTGTGATCCTCCTGCGTTCTTAGTGCCCGAGCCATGGAAAAATCCCTGGCCTGGGAGGCTGGTTTGGTTTGGTTCTGTGTTGGTGTCTGCCGGTCCCTCGTGCCTTCTGTGTGTCCCTTGGCTTACGTGTGAGTCTGGATACCCAAGCCGCAGTGGCCGTGCTAGGCAGGAGACCTCGGACTGAAGTGTGCGTGGTGGTGAGAAGAGGGCTGGGTGTGCCCGCGGAGCCCGGGACCTGCCGCCCTGAGAGACTGCTCCCTCCCTCCCTCCTGTGTATTCCCTCGGAAACCAAACAGCCCCCCGTCGTCGCCGGGCCTCATTTCTCCATGCCGCCTGCCGCGCATGCTTGGGTGGACAGGGATGGCAGCGTGGTGAAGGGTTGTAACCGCCTGTCTCCTCAGGTCCGCCGGAGCTCCCCGGGCCGCCCTGTCTTCCTCTAATAGGTCTCGCTGCCTGGTGGTGTTGTTTGTTCCTTCCTGCAAAGCAGATGCTGGGGAGAACCTCTTCCTCTGGTGTCCTGTCCTCCTCTCCGCCCTTCCTCCGGGTCTCTTTGAGGTCTCATGTCCTGTGCTTGTCCATTTTGCTCCCGTTGTCCCTTCTAGACCGCTGGAGTTAATACCACCGACAAGGAGATGGAAGTTCTTCACTTAAGGAATGTCTCCTTTGAGGACGCGGGGGAGTATACGTGCTTGGCGGGTAACTCTATCGGACTCTCCCACCACTCTGCATGGTTGACCGTTCTGGAAGGTACACACTGTGCTTCTCCTCGATGTCCTGCCTCGCCACGGGCACGGGGGGAGCATGCATTCCGGGGCTGGGGGAGACCCGCAGCCGGAGAGGTAGGTGGAGGGGTGGTTCTCACCTGCCACGTGCCCTTTTCTGTCCAGTCCGAGGCTGAGTCCTCTCAGCTCACGTGGAGGTTCCTGGTTTTGCAGGAGCTCAGAGGCTGCCCACATGACCTGTTTCAGGCTCTCCCTCGGCCGGTGGAATGCATGCCCTGGGTCTGGATTTACCTTGCAGCTGGGCTGTCCTCCACGGCAGGCTCCTTCCACCCTTGGCTCCAGCAGCCATTGCACCCACTTGGCAGCAAGGGTCTGAACTACCAGACCCTCTGGTGGTCCCAAGAGCTTCAGAAGGGACATACTCCTGCTCCCTTGAACGCAGGCACTTGGCCTGAGGACTGGGTGCCGGAGTCTTCTGTCACTACCGAGGCAGTGAGCTCAGCTGCCGTTAGAAGGCCCGTCCCAGGCAGCACAGGAGGCTTGAGGGTGCCCATTGATCTTCTTGGCTACTGTACCAAGAAAGGAGGTGTCCGTCTGTGCTGGGCCCAGGAGGAAGGAGCCACAGCCTGCGCGGGGTGGCGGGCTGTGACTGCAGGACTGGCACTGCTTGTGGCTCTGAGTGTCCTGCATGTGGTCTGGGTGCTGCTCTCTCCTGTGGCTGCAGACGTTGCCCTCTTTCTCCCCTCAACCTCTCTACCCTGCTTGCCCAGCAGTCTCTTAACACCCCGCTTGTGGTAGAGAAGCATAGTTTTTGTTGTTGTCCCTGTCTTTGTCCTCTCTGAACTCCCAATGAACGTCTTCATTTCTTAATATTGTGGGAAGGAAATAGCAGAACACTTTTCCCACCCTCAGCTGTGCTGTCTCCTCGTGAGCCTTGTGCCCCTCTGAAAGGGCCCCGGGTGCCACCTCCCTGGTGCCTAGAGCTGTGTTCACAGGGGAGGGCTGACCACACAGTGGGGCCCAGAGAGCCTCTGTGAGGCTGGTGCCCCACTTTTCCCCTTGATGCGAAAGCAGACTGACTCAGTGACGGCTTCTGTGGGGCCGGGTGTGAGTTCTGCACGGAAGGTTGGAAACGAATAAAATAATGCCCCTCACACACCCACTTCAAAATTTCTTACATGGTAAAAGTCCTTTAGGGCCTGTGGAATTCTTAAGAATGGAAAACCTTTGAAAATTCAATCGCTTTTGCCTGTGGTCTGGCCAGGGGTCTAACTGGCAGAAGCAACACAGGCCTGCGGTGGGGTGTTTCGTCAGGATGCAAGCTGGTCCCCCCTTCCGCTGTCATCCCAGGCATCTTACATGCCCGGCGGTGCCTCCTCAGAAAGTCCATCTGTCCCCGTGCAGTTAGTGTGCGCGACAGTGGTGAGAAAGGGGCCCTGCCTCCATGAGGAAGCTGAGTGAGGCGTCTGCGAAGGGACTTGCAGGGTACTTGGTACAGTCCCAGCAAGGGCTGCGGAGTGAGGGTGGAGCCTGCGCGGCAAGATAGTCTGGTCCAGATGAGCCTTTCAGAGCCTGCAGGGGCCGCAGACGGCCCACTGTGGCACACGTGCCATAGGTCCGCCCCCACGGGGTTCCGCCCTTCTGTGGACTTGAGGTCATTCCGGGAGGCCCCCAGGTCACAGGACATCTGACCTCTGTGCCAGAACCTGGTCTGGGTCTTCCCCCAAAGCCCCCGGAGGGAGGGAGATGAGTGCTGTGTCTCACGGAGCAGGGACTCGCACCACGGTCCCCAGAGCCCGCTAACACCCTGTTCACACTGACCCAGCCCTCGAGGAGAGACCGGCAGTGATGACCTCACCCCTCTACCTGGAGATCATCATCTACTGCACAGGCGCCTTCCTCATCTCCTGCATGGTGGGCGCCGTCATCACCTACAAGATGAAGAGTGGCACCAAGAAGAGTGACTTCCACAGCCAGATGGCCGTGCACAAGCTGGCCAAGAGCATCCCTCTGCGCAGACAGGTAACAGAAAGTAGATGGGGGATTCGCACGATTGCTGCCACGTTCTCCCCTGGGTCTCTGAGGATTCCCCTAGGGGCCTCTCACCCTGCACTGTCCCTAATCTACTCGGGGCTTTGCTTTCAGACTTCTGGGCCAGGCACAGGGGACCACCCTTGACCAGGCAGGCTCCCGCCGGTCTGACCCGTGGATTGCTGCCCTAACTTCAAGGACCCGCTTAATTGGCACAGTGGGTTTGGGGAAAGTCCAGGCAGGACTGAATGTGTACCTGTTGTCTTGCATTTGGACTGTTCCTGGGGCCAGGCAGAGGTGTCGAGGTGCAGGGTAGAAAAGAAGAAGCAAATCAATCCCGTATGCTCTTTCCTTCCTCAAGAGAAAGTGAGGGTGTGTGAAGGAGTGAACTTCACTTAGCACAGTGCTGACTCTGGCAGGTGCTGTAGAGGGCAGGAACCCATAATCTAAGGTTTTCTCAAAGAATTGGGGCAGGAACTGAGTCGTTAGTGCAGTAAGTTATGACGTTGTCAAGCAGGGAAAGGTATGAAGCCCAGGAAGCCTAGTTGGTGGTGGAAATCAGAGCCAGAACTTGGTTCTTCTGACTGGGAAAGAAATGTCACAGACACCTCCGCTGTGGCAAAAAGCCCTTTAAGGACTCGGCGTCTGTTACCGCCCTGCCCCCAGCACATGCCCTGCTAGGAGAGTGACCTCACCCTTCCCTGCAGGTGTCCGCTGACTCCAGTGCCTCCATGAACTCTGGGGTTCTTCTGGTCCGGCCCTCCCGTCTCTCCTCCAGTGGGACCCCCATGCTGGCTGGGGTCTCTGAATACGAGCTCCCTGAAGACCCCCGGTGGGAGCTGCCCCGGGACAGGTACCATCGGATGCCCAGCTTTCTGAGGCTATCCCCGGGTGGCTGTCCTGAGGGTGGCAGTCGTGTGTGTGCGGCTTTCTGAGACGCACGAGGTCCCTCTAGAAGTACTCTGTCCACTTTCCATTCTCGGTTGGGTGATGGGGTCTTGTGAAGGTGTGACCTTTACCAGCTCCAACTTACACCATTCTCCGTTTCCCCAAAGATTAGTCTTAGGCAAACCCCTGGGAGAGGGCTGCTTTGGGCAGGTGGTGTTGGCGGAGGCCATTGGGCTGGACAAGGACAAACCCAACCGTGTGACCAAAGTGGCTGTGAAGATGTTGAAGTGTAAGTGAGATCCCCCCTTACCCGCCTGCCCGTCCGGTGCCCCAGTCAAAGCGTCCCTCTGCTGCTCGCATCGCCCACGTCGGCCGCGCTGCCTGTGCGATTGTGGGGGGGGGGTTGCACACCTAGGATCCCTGCAGTCTCTGGTCCCTTGGTGTCATTGGTCCCATCACCAGCAGCCGCACTCGTTACCACACTACAGCCGGAGCTCCCGGTGGAGGGGCGGAGAGGCTAAGCTGAAGCGAGGGCCTCAAGCGTCCACCCTCCCCACCGCGTGGCTGTCCTCGCTCCTCCCTCCCAAAGTAACCAAGCTCACCCCATTCTGGTTTGCACACGAAGCTGATGCAACAGAGAAGGACCTGTCGGACTTGATCTCTGAGATGGAGATGATGAAGATGATTGGAAAGCACAAAAACATCATCAACCTGCTGGGGGCCTGCACGCAAGATGGTAGGCACCGGCTGGGCGCTGCCCTCCTGGCCGGGTCTGGCCCTGAGTATCTGACAAGGACTCTTAGCTGACCTAGGGAAGGGACGGAGGAGAGGGGCTGGTTTAACATGGTCAGAGTGCTTCTTGGGTCTGGGTCGGTGTCCCGTTAGTGCTCCTCTGAGAATGTAGACACTGAGGTTCATGTGCAGCGTGGAGACACGAATGGGGAAGTGACAGTGACCTATGGCAGGGCTCTGACTTCCAACTCTGTTTGGGAATTTTCTGGATACGCAGAAAAGAATTTGCCTGACTTTCTGTGGTGATAGAAAGACTTCGGGCTCCTATCCAGAGGTACAGGGAAGCAGGATAAGACCAGGGCGCATGTAAATGGGGTGTCACTGGGGGAGGGCTTCCTCCAGGTGAAGCCACACCTGCTTACTGCTGCCTCCCTGTGCTCGCAGGTCCTTTGTACGTCATCGTGGAGTATGCCTCCAAGGGCAACCTGCGGGAATACCTACAGGCCCGGAGGCCCCCAGGGCTGGAATACTGTTACAACCCCAGCCACAACCCGGAGGAGCAGCTCTCCTCCAAGGACCTGGTGTCCTGTGCGTACCAGGTGGCCCGGGGCATGGAATATCTCGCCTCCAAGAAGGTGTGGAGCTTGAGTCTCCCCAGTGTGGAGTCAGAGTGGGATCGGGCCCTGCTAGTACCCCAGCTCGTGACTTTCCATCGTCTGGTAGAGCTGTAGATGTATTGATTGCTGGCCTTATGTGCTGTCTTAAGCTCCGAGGACCTCAGACAGAGAGCTGGTGCAGCCTAGTGACAGTGGCCTCGGGATTACCCTGGATTCTGTTCAGATCTGTGTCTACCACTTTGCATAACCTCGGGCAACTATTTCTTCAAATACAAAGTACAAGTAATATTACTTACGTCGCAGAATTGTTAGAGGGATAAGACAGAATCACATCTGTGTGAGTGTTAAGTAGACTTCTTGGTGCTCTGTAAATGGTGGCTTGATCTGAGCCCTGACCCAGCATGGACGTGCTGTGCCTAAGGGACAGGGTCCACAGCTGGTACCCAGGTGGACTGAACATAGGCCTAATGTGTCCACCTTTGTGAAAATACAAAAGCTCAGAGGGCCGGGGGTTTAGCTCGGTGGTTCCGTGGTTCCGGCGCCTGCCTCGCAAGCACAGGGACCCGAGTTCGATCCCCTGTACCAAAAAAAAAGAGGTTTTGGTAAAAGGATCAAGAAGGCCAGAACTGTCGATGTTGGAGTGGAGGGGCAGACTTTTGGGAGGGTCCAGTGGTGTGGTAGTTTTTTGCGTGGTCAGTGGTTCTGCTGTGCCCGGAACGAGGGGCGGAATGTAGGGGAGTCCGCTGAGTAGCAGTGCTCGGTCCAGGGCCTGCCCCCCTCACCTGCCCCCACCCTGCCCTCTGCAGTGCATCCACCGAGACCTGGCCGCCAGGAATGTCCTGGTGACGGAGGACAGTGTGATGAAGATTGCAGACTTCGGCCTGGCTCGAGACATTCATCACATAGACTACTATAAGAAGACGACCAATGTAAGTGTTGCCCTCCTGGAGCTGGGCTGTTCTCCGCTGTGGGGGTGGACTGAAGATGTACGTGCCACACCCCCAGCGGTGTCCTCACTGTCCCCAATCTCCCATGCTGCTTACAGGGCCGGCTGCCTGTGAAGTGGATGGCCCCCGAGGCACTGTTTGACCGGATCTATACCCACCAGAGTGATGTGTGAGTCTGAAATAAGTAGTTGCCAGGTGTTGTGGGAGAGAGGATTTCTGCTGGGCTCTTCGTCCCCTGGGATGGACGAGCATCTCGCTCCCTCTCAGAGACAGTGGGTGTGCGTATTTGCTGTGTCCGCGCTTGTTGAGCAGATGGCCCTCCCTGCTTGGTGCCCCCTTGGCGCGGAGGGCCGAGTCGGGGTGGGGTGGGGCGGGACAGCCTAGGATGGCCAGGCTGTGTTTATCCGCAGGTGGTCTTTCGGAGTCCTGCTGTGGGAGATCTTCACACTGGGTGGCTCCCCGTACCCTGGGGTGCCTGTGGAGGAGCTTTTCAAGCTGCTGAAGGAGGGCCATCGAATGGACAAGCCCAGTAACTGCACCAATGAGCTGTAAGCCTGGGGATGAATGCACCTGAGGCCTCAAGCTGGGCCCTGGGGAGCGGAGGGCTGTGCATCCGGAGGAAACGCCCTTCCCGGCCATCCTCTACACCGCTGTGCTCTGTGCGCAGGTACATGATGATGCGGGACTGCTGGCATGCAGTGCCCTCTCAGAGACCTACCTTCAAGCAGCTGGTGGAAGACCTGGACCGCATCGTGGCCTTGACCTCCAACCAGGTAAGGAAGCCCAGCTGAAGCTTAGCATCATACAGGGGGTGTCTCGGTGATCACAGCCTGACAGTCTCTCCTCACCTGTCCCAGGAGTACCTGGACCTGTCAATGCCCCTGGACCAGTACTCACCCAGCTTTCCCGACACCCGAAGCTCTACCTGCTCCTCAGGGGAAGATTCCGTCTTCTCTCATGAGCCGTTGCCTGAGGAACCCTGTCTGCCCCGACACCCAACTCAGCTTGCCAATGGCGGACTCAAAAGACGCTGACCACCGCCCACATGTCCCTCCCCAGACTCCCCATCAGCCGTACCCCTCATCCACAGCTCCCTGCTGGACTCACTGCCTTTCCCGTGCCCCTTCCTGCTGGCAGGAGCCAGCCGCCTGTCGAGGCCTTCCTGTGTGGCCTGCCTTCCTGTCGCTGGGCTCCTGTCTTCCTGCTCTTCCTCTCTACCTGCTTGTGAGAGAGAGGAGCCAAGAAGGGGCACTGGCTGCTGGCCACTTCCTTCCTGAGTGTTGGACCAAGACCTCTCCCTGCCTCCGGCAATGCTCAGAGGGCCAGGGTGGGCAGACGAGCGGGCACGCGGGCGAGAGCTTCTGAGATTCCTGGTACCGGTTCTGTGTTTCACCTTGGCCGTCAGCCCCCTGCATTCTGGTGGCAGGTGCATTGTCCTCAGGGCTACTAGAGTAGGAGGTCACTGCTTCGGGCCTCAGTTGAAGGTGAACTCTGCTCCACATGGATGGTGCCAGTGGCTTCCTAATTCCAATACTAATTTGCTTTGCTGACCAAATACCTGGCACCAGAGGATGCTGAGGCAAAGACGGAGCAGCGATGTGGCCCTGGGGCCCAGCCCTGAACTGGGGGCTTTGTACATAGCTATGAAGAAGACACAAAGTGTATAAATCTGAGTATATATTTACATGTCTTTTTAAAATGGTCGTTGCCAGAGATTTACCCATTGGGTAAGATGCTCCTGGTGGCTTGGAGGCATCAGTTGCTATATATTAAAAATGAAGAAAAAAGAAAAAAAAAAAGGAAAATGTTTTTAAAAAGTTCATATATTTTTTGCTACTTTTGCTGTTTTATTTTTTTAAATTATGTTCTCAACCCATTTTCAGTTTAGGTCCCTCAATAAAAATTGCTGCTGCTTCATTTTTATCCGGGCTGTGTGAAAAGGGAGCAGACATTCCCTGGAAAGGAGGAGACCGAGGTCCAGGAGGCACACACATCCCCCACAGTTCCCTTGTCATCAGCCTCCTGGGTCAGACACCCTGACCTCACGACAAACCTCCTACCTCTCTGACCTGTAGGAAAATCAAGAAAAGATGACGCCCACGTGCTGGGCAGGAGCCTCCTATCTGTGCCTCAGAGCCCGAGGGCCAGCGGAGTGTTTCCGGTGCGGAGAGGGAGGGCCTTTGGGACAGCCGAGCGGCGGGCGTGCGAAGTGAGGGAGAGGAGGGGTCGGCGTCCGCCCTCCATGTGGGCAAGCGACCGAAGACTGGTCACCCATGGCCGGTTCTGCGTTTAGCTCACCAGCTTCACCTTTCATTTGTTCCTTATCCTGATTCCCCCAAATCATTCTTGCTGTCTCCTCTGTGACCAGACTGCGTTTGTTGGGTCTGTCTTGGCTTCCCATGGTTCTTCCTGTGCAGACTCCACCCTGTGCCTCCGTGTTTATTTGTTCACTGCTTGGAAACTTCCGCCATCTGCTGGTTGTCGCCGACCTCGCCAAGTGGATTCTGGCTCCTTGGCACCTTAGCCCTCTACCTATTCAGCCTCTGTCCTTAAAGCTTCCTCTCTGCTGGGTAACTGCTGGATCCAGACAGCTCAGTATGCTTTCATTTCTGTAGGAAAAGTGGGGTTGCTGCTTTACATTTTCATTTAGGAGCTGCATATTTTTTGGCAGCTACGGTGTTGATCATTATTGTAAAATTCTCCTACTTTTGTTTCTCTGAATATGCAACTGTCAAATATTACAATTTCTGTTAGTGTTTAAAGAAGGTACAATTTGGTGAACAGAGCTAGGAAATGAATTCATCTCTTAAAATCATTTGCTTTGAGACCACATAGTTGTGTCTTTCCTTGTAAAACAGCAATGATAATTTTTGCCTGGGCCCTGCTTTGATACGATGCTGTGTTGAACGGTTGGAGGTCTATAAAGGACTTCGTATGACTTCGAGAGAAGTGCTAGAGAAATACAAGGCACCATTATTGTAACAGCAGCACCCTTGCTGTTACTACGCAAGTCACCCACAAAGTCCCCAGAGACTGAGCTGGCTGTCAAATAAAAGATAGTGAAATTGACCTGAGAGAAAATGAAGTAGCTGTTTTACTTAGATGACCAGATAGGGTCCCTCGGGGAAAGGAATGCAGTTTACCTAATGAAGACGTGCTGTCAAAGCACTGAATCTGTCTGGCTTCCTCAGGGTTAAAAGATTAGGTCCTGGGATCACCACAACATTAATCGATACTGCCTTTCTGCTTTTCCTAATTGCCAAAGCCTGGAGATCATCAGTCCTTTGGCACTGCTAATGTAATGTATTGATCTCAAGTAAGATTGAACCTGAGATGCAGCAAGAAATCTATCTTAATAGTTATGAAGTCATTCTATATCAGCAACCACTGGGTGGAGCTAGTGAGCTAACAGCTCCATCCGTATTAAAATTCAAACTGCTTTGAACTCATATTCTGACCTTATCTGTAAGTGTGTAGTACAGGTGAGAAGAAATCTTTAGCCCAGGTTTAGCAATATAGAACACTGACTGGACATTACTTTTTTTTCCTGGTATTGGGGGTTAAACCAGGGCCTCACACATGCTAGGCAAGTGCTCTACCACTAAGCTATGTCACCAACCCTTACCCGTGTGACTTTTAATGATTAAAGTACAGAACGAGACAAGGCACCAGTCATGGGGCCATACGCTTGGGGGTCTAAGGCAGGAGGATTGTTGGAAGTTTGAGGCCAGCTTGGGCTGCATAAGGAGACGTGCCCCCCCAAAAAGAGAGCTGTGTCACAAGTAGCGGCATAAATGCTAAGTGTCTATCTGTGTGTCTGTGTCTGTCTACCTCATACACACCCCAGCAGAATTCTTTCAGAAACAGGCCAAGGGTAACCACTGCAGTCCGTTGGAGGATGCCTGAAATCAGAGCCTGTGTGGTTATTAGCAGCTGTTTGAGCCAAGGCATCTGCAGGGAAAGGTGGAGCAGGGAGAGGAAGGAAAAAGCTTTTAGCAAAGCAGCTTGGCCTCCATTCCCTCAACCACTGAGAGCTGGGAAGGGTTAAGACCAGCAAGGACCCAGATGTTAAAACTTGTGCGGCTTCCCTCTTGGTTGGCACTTAACGGTATTCAGAACCATCTTCACACTTCTGCATCCAGATGCACGTCTTTGCACACAGATGTGGTGTCATGATCACACTGCCAGCTAAAGGTTCAGCTGTCTCCAGAAGCCCTGGGGTCAGTGGGAGCTGGAGCTGGCTCACAAGGGCCACAGCTCTGTGCTGGTCAGTGACCTCATGGGGTAGCCAGAAATCAGCCACCGTGGGACTAACGTCAGTGGGATCGGTCAGAGCTATTTTTCCTTTCTGAGAGTTGATTACCACCAGCTGGGAGGTAAAGCTAACGCTCTCGGAAACCAACAGCCAAGCACCCAAAGTGATGAGAACAAAGAAACATCCCTGACTTCCAGGGTGAGCTGCTGTGACGAGAACGGGAAGAGGGGCGTCTCAGCGGCGTAGATGGCAAAAGTGGTGACAAAGTGACCAGGGCCCTTGGGCCTAATCCTTCCGCTCACAGGGAAAGCCAAAAGGAACTTCAGGACAGCTCAGCAGCACATGCAGGCCTTTCAGCGAGACGGGAGTGGGCTAGTTAGCCACACCCTTCCTCACATTATAACACCTGAAGTATGGACTAACAACACCCATCAGTTTAAAAACTGAAATTTTACACGGATCACCCAGGTTGGCCAGTGGCAGGTCCATGAAAGGCCGTGCATAGTAGGGCCTCATCCTCACGGAAGGGCAGTTCCCTGTGGGGCAGGTTGGGGCTTTTGAGTGGTGACATTGCTCATCTAGATGATTCCAGGCAGAGCGGATCTTCAGCTTGACTTTAAATCTCAGAGCAAGTGAGGAAAGTTAGTGGTCAGCTGGATGGAAACCTGTCCGGTTTCAGTGTTGACACCGAGTGGAGATGCCTGAACACAGTGCCTGTTCCTGGGGAGCGTAGATACTCCAGCAGACCAAACCACCCTGTGACTAACAGTCTTACTTGTGAAAGACAAGCTGACCCGAAAAACACATCCAGCACAAACAAATGGTTAAGCCTTAAACCCTTAATTATGTTTCCTAGCAAAATGGTGACTAATGAATGCCATATGTGCTGGAATAGTGGCCACCTCCCAGATTCCTGCAGCTTCCCTAGCCCCTGAAGGGAACGTCTGCCAGAACAGCTATCCCACAGCCAGGCCTCTGGGACTGCCCATCTGTTTAACTTCCCATCTTGCCTTCTAAGAAACGCTCCCTTCTTTATATCCAGAAAAAAACCCTTACTGGGAAGTACATCCATCCCATCTTAGGGTGCTGCTCCAGGACACTTGTCCCTACCATCAAGTCATCCTGCAAAAGTTGGCCAGGTGCTCATAAGATGGCTTTTGGAACCCGCAAGTTCCGACGGCGTGGGACTTCAAGCCACAGAAGTATCCAAGGTGCCAAGCAGACTCCATTAATGCAACATCCAAAACCTTACTCTGAAAAGATGCGCACAAACAGGAAGCTGTTCAACGTGGTGGGGTGGGCCTTGCGTAAGGTTTAGTGGAAGACGGTGCTGCAGAAGTAAACCTTGCGATTACATTTCTAAAGGCCTGAACTTGGCACACAGCAGACATCACCTGGGAGGGTGACAAGGCCTCAGGATCTCTCCCAGGATTAAATGGCAGATCCTGTATCTAGAAGTAGACACAGCCTTAGGGGGTGTCCTCCACAGGTACCACTGCCAGCCAGAGGTGGGAGACATGCTCCACCCTCCAGTACTCCTTAGGCTCCCTTTGAACTTGCCTTGCTGTTCTGGGATGTCGTCTGGGATTTGGCCTGGAGCACCTAGGTATAAAACAAGGACTTTAGGCATTGGTCACAATCAGATGTGTGTTTTTCAGAGGTCTCATCTTCTTAATAACATCACAAAGTCAAATCTGCGTGTGATTTTCCTTGGTAATCAAAATGAAGACTGCAAACAGACCTCCACGTGCCTGGGGATCGCTGGCTGCACACCCTATCTGCACGTTACAGACTGTTCTGCCAGCCGCAGCCCTCCTGTGACCTTCCTACTGTTTCCTCGTGTGACGATTTCTGCCCCTGCCCCAAATGCCTTCACCTAAATGAGGAGTGGACAGATAAGTAACTTCTTATTTATATCCATTGTTCCTAACTTTTAAATTGCTTTCCTGTCAGTATTTCCTGACATCAGAAGCCTATGCGAAATACACAACATATGGAAACTATTTCCATCTGGTGCATAAGAAAATAAAGATCTGCCTATATGGTAATTAGCTTATAGACTGCACATGTTTACATCTGGTCCACCATTGCATTGGTTGGTGATTATTTTTTCCACTTTTGGTTAATTATGGTAAAAATGTAGTGGTTATGAGATGACTCAATTTCACCCAGCAGCTTCCTGTTTGGATGACGGTGGATGGAGAGAATTAGGTATTGTTTTGCAATGTTGTAATTCTAGTCTCACTATCCTTGGTTTTTGCGTTGGGTTTCAGGCTTTTCTTTTGCTTCTTAGATACTTACGGCTTCTTTAGAAGAAGCAATGGGCAACGAGATAGGTGTCGGTGGTGGTTTTGGTGATGGCGGCACAGGTGGGAGCGGCGTCAACTCTTCACCCTTAAACATCAGAACTGAGAGTTGGGTTACTGATGTTAGAAAATAAAGGTACATTACATCTACTACCACAGCTAGGGGGACTTTTAACGACTATTTCTTATTCTGGCACAAGGTTCAGAAGGCAGAATCTAGAGCCTAAGAATGTGTAGCCACATGTTGAACTTTTTTTTCTTTTCCAGTGCTGAAAATTGAACCCAGAGCCTCGTAGCTGCTAGGCAATTGCTCTATATCTGAGCTACACCCCCAGGCGCCAAATGCTCAACGTTTATTGATTGATTGATTCGTTTTTTGAGGCAGAAACTTGCTGTGCAGTACAAGCTGGCCCTGAAATCACTATATAGTCCAGGCTGGCCTCGACCTTGTGGCAATCCTCCTGCCTCAGCCTCCTGAGTTCTGAGGTTACAGGTGTGTGCCAGTGTTTCATTTTTAGACAGTATAATAAATATTCCTTGCTTTCAATACTATTGTGTTAAAATTTGGTTTTATTAATGTATCATTATTTACAGAAAAATTAACATGTCATTTCCTTTAATTTAATCAAGCGGAAAGGAACTGTCTAACCTGAGTCCCCTTCAGCTGAGGTGCAGAATCTACCAGGTCCTCTTTCGATTTGGGGGAAGTAGGCAATCCCAAGGACATTTCTGTCTGCAGAGCCTAGGGAGAGAAGAAGTTTGCAGAAGCATAAGCTTTCTACTCTTCCTGAAACTCAGAAGCTCCTTCACAGTAGTCAGTGCCTTTCAGCATGATTTGCTTGCTACTAAATCCCCGACTTCCTCCTCTGACTACACCCTTTATGAGTAACATATAAAATATGTTCCTGAAATAGCAGTGTAGGTTATTTCTCTATGAGTTTTGAGCACTCTACAAAAGCTGCACTCTAGAGGCTAGTATTTAAGATCTAGTCATTAGCAAACCCCTGACTTGCCTGTTCTCAGGGGGGAAAATGCTATTTCTCAACTACTCATCAGTTTCTAATAGCATTGACATAACTTAGAGTGGACACCATCATCTCTGGTGCCATAATGGTAAATCTGCCTGACAAATGGTAGGAACTGCTTATCAGAAGCTCTTGAGCGGAGGGTATAAATTCTTAGCGAGGTGCAGGCTTGGCATATGCGAGGCCCTGGGTAACTTTCACAAGGAAAATGGAAGGAGGTAGTAGAACAGATGACAGATCAGATTAGGAGCCATGGGAGGATAACTTGTTAGCTATCGGTAAGAATTATATCAATTAACTTCGAAAAAATATCATTACTTTTTGGAAATAAGTTTGTTACTCCTGTAGGAAAGGGTGGCAAGCCCATGGCACACGTGGCACAGTGGGCTGTCTGTATCACTGAAAGCTCTAAAAGGTTTGCCATTACTGGGCTATAGTATATTCAATTTGATGTCTCAGTTCTATTTGGGTTGTTGTCTTTTTGTTTTGTTTCATTTTGTTCGAGTCAGGGTCTCGCCAAATAGCCCAGGCTGGCCTCAAACTCAGTGATCCTCCTGCCTCAGCCTCCTGAGTGCTGAGCTCATGGGCCGGTGTCACAACGCCCACACAGCATGATGTCTCAATTCTTCACGCAGCCCAGCTACCATCTGTTCTGTTTCGAACATAGGAAGAGTAGAAATTTAAATACATGGATGAAAAGAACAACCAATACAATTCTGAGGAGCTTGTCCCTTTGTCCTTAAGTCCTTTCTTACCCTTCTACAAAGCAGCATCTGAATAGAGTTGATGCCCACCTATAATAATTTTGAGAATCCAGGTTTAGCTCAGACACTGTTCCTCCAAGATTTCAAGGCATGTTCCTGGGGGCATTCTAAGAATAACAAATAACTTCAGTCTGCCCTAAGTAGACCCAGGAGTTTGATCAAGTGAGAATTCACTAGCCACCCTTCATGGTATTTACAAAGAAATTTCCTTCTAGTCTTCCTAGAATCAATCCTGGATAAATCCCAAAACCAGATTCCTGTCTAGAAATACATAAACAGAAAGCACAACAGTGTTTCCTGGAGTAGACTGTTCATGATAGCCTTCAAATGACCCTCAACTTGTCCTGGTAGTCAAGAAAACATCTGAGGGCTGGGGATTTAGCTCAGTGGCTCTGCTGCCTGCTTCGCAAGCGCAAGGACCCTAGTTCAATCCCCCGTACCAAAAAAAAAAAAGAACGAAAGAAAGAAAAGAAAACATCTGAGATTAGAAATGACCAGTCCTCAACCCTTGAGCACCTAGAGTCATCTGCTAAGCCAAGAATGCAGAATCCTACAACAGTCTTTCCTCTCTCACTCCTAAGGCCGTGAGGCAGACCAGAGGCCAGGAGGAGAAAGTGAGGCCCTTTCCGAGGGGCCCAGAACAAGACACTCACTAGGGCCTGGGCTCATTCTGGGCAGCTGCTTGAGTAAAACACCAGCAGAGAAAGCATTGCTGTTAAAGGCAAAGAGATAAAGGAAAGCAGTGGAGGGGAGACAAAAGTTTACATTCTAGGCTAGCCCTCCTTTGCTTTAAAACAAACAAGAATCTGCATAAGACATGAAAGAATAGGAATCATTTGGTTTAAAAGAAAAAAGCAGTCGGGGCAGGGAGAAGTCTGCCAATGAAGACTAGGTAGTTCAGAAGAGAAAATAAAAGCTTCTACTTCAGGCTTGGGTTAAATAGTCACAGCCCCAGGGCTAGGCAGGAGGAGAGAGGTTATGCCAGGGTGGAAGCCAGGGCTTCACGCACAATGAACAAGCACCCTGCCCTGGAATCTTAACAAGATGTTAGAGCCACTGGGCCAAATTTCAAAAGAAACACCTATTTCGATTGCAAGAGGAAGTCGGACATTGGTGGAGAGGCCTCAGACACTCCCGGCCCAGTTACTCACCTCTCCACCCTGAGGTATCTCAATCGGCTTTGGCGTCACATCTATCAGGTAGAAGGTTCGAGACAGCAGCAGCAGAGATGGGGCACGTTCTCCTGTAGGTGCAGGTCCAGCCACTGCCGAACAGGGAAGCACAGACGGTTAGAACTGGAAGGGACCTTGATCGCCCACTGTTCCTCCCATCTCTTGCTGGTACTCATGGCAGAAGAAACACCACCCTCCCTACTTCTGTGCCAGTGCAAGTACCCGGCAGCTTCACTTACTACTGCCCAGAGAGGATGCGTTCAATTAAGCTCTCAACCCAAAGGGATCGAAGGAGCTAAGTATCTTCTCTTAAACAAAAATTAGAAGCTGGGTGTAATGGCACATACCTATAATCCCAGCACTTCGGAGGCTGAGACAGGAGGACTGCCTTGAGTTCAGGACCAGCCCAGGCTCCATACTGAGTTCAAGGCCAGCCTGAACTACATAGCGAGGCCCTGTCTCAAAAAATAAAGACACAGGGCTGGGGATTGAGCTCAGGTGCATCGCACCTGCCTCACAAGCACAAGGGTCCTGAGTTCAATCCCTAGTACCTAAATACATAATCGAATAAATATCATTACAATGCGGATAAACTGTAGATGTAAGCAACTATCAAATTGACCACACTTTTCTCAAACCCCAGTACTGGGGACTGAACCCTGGGCCTCACACATGCTAGTCAAGCATTCTACCACTAACTATGTCCTCAGCCATTCTTATTCTGGGGAGGTCTGACTGGTTGCCCGTGCTGGCCTTGAACTTGCTATCCCCCTGCCCCAGCTTCCCACGTAGGTGGGACTGCAGTTATATGTCACCATACCCAGCTTAACCAAGGTTGCTTGCTTGTTTTTTCTTTTAGTGGGGGAGGGTGGTACCAGGGATCAAAGTCGGGACCTTGCACTTGCCAGGCACCTGCCGCGCCACTGAGCTAAATCCCCAGCCCTGCTTGCCTTAGTTTCTGAGATAGGGTCTCACTGCGTAATTCAGGCTGGCCTTAAACTCACTGCATAGCCTAGGCTGGCCTTGAACTTGTAGTGCTCCTCCTGCCTCAGCCTTCCAGTGCTTGGATTACAGCCTGAGCCACCACACCTGGCCTAAGCATTTTTTTTTTTTAGATCAATAATATATGACCAAGACATAACTCACAGGTAAACATAATGTACTCAATAAAAACAAATCTTGCCAGGTGTGGTGGCACACGCCTGTAATCCCAGCACTCAGGAGGCTGGGGCAGGAGGATTGCTGTGAGTTCGAGACCAGCCTGGACTACTTAGTGAATTCCAAGTCAGTCTCAACTACACAGTGAGACCTTGTCTCAAAAAAGCAAAAGAAAAAAAAATCTTCATTCCAATCTACTCTCTAGCCATTTTCTTCCCTACATAATTTTCCTGAGATATCCTAGACACATGCAAATTTATATTTTTTATCTTTACACAAAGGGTGATATACATACACTGTTTAGTCCTTTGCTTTTTCCAGTGAAATATCTTTTTTTTTTTTTTTTTTTAGGTCCAGTGAAATATCTTGAATACGAATTCATGTTATTAGAAGCAGCGCTGCTTTTCAACATCCTTCAAGGATTTCATGTGTGGAAATGCCACAATTTATTTGATGATCCTCCTACTAAAGAACTTTAGGCTGTCTCCAAAATTTTGCTATTATAAAGGGATAGTATTGTACGTTTGTCATTTTAACTTGTACAAAGAGCACCAGACACAGTGGTACACACCTATAATCACGGCTATTTAGCAGGGTGAGGCAGGATTGCAAGTTCAAAGCCAGGCTGGGCAAATTGGTAAGACCCTGTCTCAAAGTTTTAAAAAAGAGCTAGAGATGTAGCTCAGCCGCAGAATATTTGCCTAGCATGTGGGAGAAAGGAGAGAAAAAAGAAAGAGGAAATCCAAGACTGAAAGCATGAGGGAATCTGGCATGGTGTTGGAAATGGAGGGCTGAGAGGTAGAGAATACAGGGTGGCGTCCAGAACTGGCAGCTAGCAAGGAAACAAGGACTTCCGTCCTACAGCTGCACAGAACTGGGCTCAGCCAAAAAATGAACTAGCTGGGAAGTGGATTATTCCTCACAGCCTCCCGAAAGGAGTACAGCCTGCACTCCTGACCTACGGAAATGTGAATTAACAAGAGAGTGTTGTTTTAAGGCACTGAGTTAGCAGTTGATAACAGGTACACAAAACTAGTATAAACCAGGTATTGTGGCCAATGTCCATAATCCCAGCCCCCTAGGAGTCTGAGGCAGAAGAATTGCAAGTGTGAGCCCATACTGTCACAAAGGAGAGGGGGCAGCACAGTGCAGATGCTCTGGCTTCAATTCCCAATACAAAAAAAAAAGAAAGAAAAAGGAAATTAATACAGTGTACCATCCCAGTCAAAATGCAAAATAAATCTAGCTACTTCAGTGCCCCACTGTTCAATGAAGTAAGGTGAATTAGGTAAGATGGCTCCCTCGTGCTGTGGTTTGGATCTTAAATGTCTCGGAAAGGCCTCTAGGGGGTGGCACCTAGCAGGAGGATGTGATGTCATTGGGGTGTGCCCTTGAAGCAGACACTGGGATTTTAGCCCCTCCTCCTCCTCTTTCCTTGCTTCCGGGCACCATGAGTTGCAGATGCCTTCTCTGATGTTCTGTGTTGCCACAGGCCCAAAGCATCAGAGCCAAGCAGCCATGAACTAAACCTCTGCCAACCACAAGCACAAATAAAGATGTTCTCCTTAGAAGTTAATTATCTCAGGCATTTTGTCACAGCAACAGAAAGCTGCCCAACACACTTGTGAAGTTGAATGAAAGATGAGATCTGTGAATCACTTGATTACAGTCCTGTGAGGGGACCTGGGTGTGGCTGCCTTGCCTCTGTGAGCTGCTGTTGCAGTTGTTCCTCAGTGAGACCCAGTGACCTCATGCCTCGGGCCCTACAGGCAGCTTGCAATTCTGACACACTCAGATCTTTCAACCCTTCTTTGGCAATTATCTGCAAAAAATGTAAGGAACAGCATCAGATCTTTTGGTTCCAATTTTACCCAATCCCTACATTCTAGTAACTCAGTAGAAACCCAGAATCTGTTGCTTTAACTGTGTTCTGTCCCCTGCACTGTTGTGCATGTCAGGACCCTAAAGTGCAAGGTGACTTCGGAAGGTGACAGTTGCGATAAAGGGAATCCTGTTAACAGATATTAACAGTACAGATATTTAGATAACTTCTCCCCCAACACTTTATCAACAAAGTATTTCCCCTCTTGATTTGTATTTTGCCTGGTTGTGGCATCTCTTCCCTTGCATAGCATCTTTTACCATTCATTAGAAGGACATTGTTGCTTGAAAAGTTTCCAAGGTAGTATTTGTTGGGTGTCTCGGTGCTGTTTTTCCACCGCTGCCCCAGGAAAGAACGGCCCCCTCTGATTCACAAAATTCCCTCCACAAAAAACATACCAAAGTTTCTGCTTGGTGTGATCCAAAGCTACAGTCCTCCCAGGACCAGTATTGTTTATGCCAAAGTTCTGAAAGCAACATCTGAAATCCAAATGAGGCCAATGGGATCATGGTTTCTCAGTTCTGGGAAACCTGCTCCCTCAGGTAGAATGCTTGACAGCAGTTGATTTAGATTGAAGAAACATCCTTTACATTTTTTAAAGGAGTCCAGTTAGTAGTTGTGGTCCAAATGGTACCTTCTATAACACATCTGGGCTCTGTTTTTTTCCCAGCATTCTGCTCTGCCAGACCCTTCTTGCTGGGCCAACACACCCAACAGAGTATTTACTTTGGCATTAGCTCCAATGGTAGGGAAGCAAAGGTGTGGGTAGAGCTTTGCCAGGAATTCGCTGAGCTGCTATTGCTACTTCCCTTCACAGCAAGTCCTACCTGCTTCCTATTAGTTCTAGTCAAAGCACCGACTATTACGATGGCCGTCTCAAAAGAATTGTTCCCAGCACAACAGACAATTCTGAAAATGACTAATCCAGACCCAGGACATCCCAGCAGTGATTGCTTAATTTTGTCAGAATCAGTGTCTGAGCAGACAGAGAACACAGTACTTCATGACAAAAGCTCCTCTCCCCATCCACTGGGGATCCCCGAGAGCCATGGCCAAACTCTTACTCTGTCATCTGCTTTTATAGACTTCAGTGTCATCAGGAGCTGAAAGCGAAGCAAATTGTTGGTTCCAAAGGTTTGCAATTCTAGCAGCTTGCAGAGGGCAATCAGCTGAGGCCGATCTAGGTGCTCCAGGGCCAGCTGATCCTCGAAGAGCTTGGAAAAACGAATGATCTCCTTTGTGCTGGGCTTGTGGCCTGTCTGGACCTAGGCAACGGTACAAAGAGGCTAATTAAAATGTGTTGCCTACTTCTCATAATCTTTCCATTAGACTATTTGAAAGAAATATCAAAGCAGTTATGGGCTCTATTTGCTGTCTGGAAATGGGCTCTGTATTTCAAAGAGGGTTAAAGAAATCTGAAGTCAAACTAAATCATTGGAAAAATCAGGAGTAGTTCAAAAGTTTGACATTCTTTCCAAGAATTTTCTTTTTGGTATGGGGAATCAAACTCAGGTCCCTGCACTTGCAAAGCAGGCACTGAAACAACTGAGCTAAATCCCCAGCCCTCTTTCCAATAATTTATCATCCTCTTCAACATGATTTTTTTTTTTTTTTTTTTTTAGATAGGATCTCACTATGTTGTCCAGGTTTATCTAAAACTCTTTTGCGTGTGTGTGTGTGTGTGTGTGTGTGTGTGTGTGTGTGTGTGCTGGGGATCAAACTCAGGACCTTGTGTTTGCCAGGCAGGTGCAGTGCCACTGAGCTACATCCCCGGCCCATTGTCTCAAACTCTTGATGACCCTCCTGTCTCAGGCTCCCTAGTGTTAGGACTACAGACATGCACCACCACACTGAGATAGCACAATGATTATTTTTAAGGTAGCCTTTTCTACAGACTACTATGTTTAAAATGTCAAATGTTTAAGTATCATAAATTTATTATTTCAGTATTTGCAGTTTCAAAGATTATGGACAATTTGGAAGACCCAGGATGATACACTTCTCATGTAATTCCAGCCCTGAAGTTGTTTGATACAACATGAAAGACACACACCTGTTTTACATAGGAGGAGAGCTGGACAGAGGCCTCTCCCAGCTTGGCTCTGTTTCTCCTTGCCATTTCTGTAATTGTTTCTTGAAGGAACTTTGCTAGTTCCAACTTTGCTGCCATTTTCTTTCTCTGCTTCTCTTCCTTTATAGTAGAAAGGACAAGTTAATTCTTAATGACTGCAACTAGGTAAAGACAGGAGAAATAACTGTTACCTTGTTATTGCTCGCCCCTGTCACACAGACTGGATTGTTTACAGATTTAACTGAGTGGGTTTTGAGAGAAAAAAGGAAATATAAAATAGACTATTTGAAACCCATTTTCTAATCTGAATTTATTTCTCATTGATATAAAATCATAGGCATGTGATAGATCAAAAATCTTCCCTGAATGGGAGATTGTCATGTAGAAAGATCTATCAGGCTGGGGATGTAGGCTCAGTGGTGCTGCTCCTGCCTGACAAGAGCAAGGCCCTGAATTCGATTCCTAAAAAAGAAGAAGAAAGAAAGATGTAATAACTGAAGGCAAACCATCTGGGCTGCAACGTCACCAAATCCCCGGTCTAAGTGGCCCTGGATTTTGTTTAACAAAGTAGGAAATCAACTCTCTCCTAAAGTAGCTGAGGATTTAAGTAGAAAACAATCAGAATTAAATACAATACAATAATTCAAGTCATATAATAGATATAAAAAAGCATTACACAGAAGAGAATTAAATGTTCACTCTCAAGGCATTAACTTGACCAGTGTTTCTTAACCCATGTTCATCATCAAAACTGCAGTGTGGTTGGGCTGGGGATGTAGCTTAGGGCACTGCACCTGCCTCGCAAGCACAAGGTCCTGAGTTCAATCCCCAGTACTAAAAAAAAAAACAAAAAAAAAAAACCCAAAACAAAAATGCAGTGTGGTGGCCTTTTCAAAACAATCATGGTCAGGATATCAAGGGGGTAGACAAACAGGAATCTATCAATCTATCTATTTTTTAAGTTGTCTTCTGCTACTGATCCCTTTTCTACTCCCAACTCCCACCACGAAGAGCAAAATCATTAGTCTTGGACTATTATGTCACGACGCCATTTTAAGCGTTATTCTTTGTATCCAGAACACCTTTTACAGACTGGTAAAATTCCACACCCTCTTTGAGTCTCAGTTCCAAAGACCTCTTCTGTGAAACATTTTCCACTCCTACTGACTTAAAAGGTGTCCCCTCTGCCCTTTAACGGTGCTCTATAGATTTTCATAGCATCATCTAGTAGAATAACGCGGAAGAGAGGAAATGAAGTCGCCAGTGTTCCAGCCCATCCCCCGCACAGTGGTCACCCTCTTTTCAGGGACTGCGCACGAGCAACGAAGGGTCTGTTTGGCTCAATAAATCAGACCTACTGTCTAATTAGTCACCATATTTACAATGGAGTTTCATATAGTTAAACTTTAGTGGAGAAGGGATGGTCTTTTTCAATAAATGATGCTGGCGGGCAAAACTGGATACTCATATGCAAAAAAAAATTGGGGCACTCACATTATATCTTTCACAAAAAATTAACTCTAAATAGATAGTACCCTAACTATAAACTATAAAGTATAAAACTTCTGGAAGAAAACAGTCAAGAAAGGTAAGGAAATCTTGGCTTTTAGCTGCAACACCAAAAGTTTGAGCATGAAAGAAAAAAAATTGCCAAGTCAGTTTTCATTACAAGTATTTCCGCTGTGAAAGACATTGGTTAATGAACAAAAAGATAAGCTATAACTATGAGATAACTGATAAACTTTGAGAAATATTTGCAAAATATATCCAATAAGACTTTTTCCAAAATATACAAAAACAAAAACAAAAAACCACCCCACTCTCAAAACAACAATAAAACAAACTACTAAACTGAACAAATGTAAACAGACACCTCCCCAAAGAAAATATAAGACAGGGACCGGGGATTTAGCTCAGTGGTTCCTCCACCTGCTTCACAAGCACAAAGACCCGAGTTTAATCCCTGGTACAAAACAAAAAACAAACAAACAAACAAAATTATATATATATATATATTGTGGCTAATCTGTAAAACACTGACAGCATGAATTTCTGGGGAAAATGTGGAACAAGAGGAACTCATGCAATCATGTATTGCTGAGGAAATTAAGAAAGGGAGAGCCATTTCCTTTTTTTTTTTTTTTAATGACCCAGCGATCACACTTACTATTTATTCATTGAAGTAAAATCGGTTTGAAAAGAAGCCTGCCCTTAAATGCTTAGAGCAGATTCACTCATACTGTAATTGCTAAAACTTTCAAGTACCACGATGCTGCACTTTGAGTAGATGGGTAAACCGGGGTACATCCAGACAACGGAACAGTATCCTGACCTTGTCCATTCCCCCGCCGAATGCAGATCACAAGCACCATCCACGTCCACATAACTCTAGCGAAACTTCCTTGACTTCTGCCGGCTGCATTTCAGACTCTGGCGTTGGGTCTCCCCTGGCGGCCTCCGCCCAGAAGACGGAGCTGTAGGGTCTGCAGACACGCAGTCCTCACCCGCTGCTTGCACTGTTTCCACATCTCTTCCTCTGGCCTGGTAACCGCCGCCCGCTTCCTTCCTTTCCTTTCCTCTCCCCCTCTGCCTGTCCACTTCTGCCCTCCCGCCTCCCGAGTTCAGCAAAGCTAAGCATATTACTGTAGGGTCCAAGAACCACTCTCCTAGGTGGATCTTATCCAAGGGAACTGCAAGCTCATGTCCACACAAAAACCTGAATGCAACTATTTATAGTAGTTTTATTCAAAAGCGCCCCAAATTGAAAGCAAACCATTCTCCAAACCTGAATGGGTATACAAACTGTGGTACAGTGTATCCACACATAGGATTATCATCTAGTGGTTCCGAAGCACAAAAAGAGTTGGAAAAACTTTCACTGTATATCAATAAATGAAAGAAGCCAGTCTGAGAAGACTACACAGGTATGATTCTAGCTATGTGACATTCAAAAAAAAAGGCGAAACAGGAGACAATAAAAATTAGTGGTTGCCACAGCTGAGGGGAGAAAGGGAAACAGGTGGAGCACAAGAGATTAATGTTAGAGCAGAGGAGCTATTCTGTATGAGACTTGTGACAGCAGATACATGACAGTACACATTTATAAAACCCACAGGCCTGTACGCCACAAAGAATGAACCCAGGCCGGGGATTTAGCTCAGTGGTTCTGCTGCCTGCCTTGCAAGCGTCAGGACACGAGTTCAATTCCCGGTACCAAAAAAAAAAAAAGA